AAAAAAATTAAAAACACGCTTAACATACAGAATAAAAAAAGGTCAATATTTTCATATGTGGCGTGATAATTCAGTGCATCTTTTCAGAGCCAGATGGTTAAGCTCAGAAAAGATTCCTGCACAAATGTATTTAAGTGGAGAAAGGTCCAATATCCCCTTTTGAGATTACTTAGTGCTTCTGAAGTGGAGTCCCTGATTAAAGTTCATTAAAACTCTGTGGCCTTCTGATTTCAAAACTCTATTTGAAATCAGAAGAGATTTCAAAGTGCAATCTAAATTCACAAAGCACGGAGTGTACAGTATATTAAAGATGTAGAGAACACAGTAAACTGAGGATTAATGGCTTCCTATGTGTACTGTGCAGTGTAATAAAAAAATAAAATGCTTCAAAAAGTAGAACAATCTTCAACATTTGATCTTTTGTAAATTCGTTTTCAGAGCATATACTTTGTTAGGTTAACCTTTAGATTGGAATTCTATCAATTTACTAGTAAATTATGCTATTGTGCAAACATATTCTATTCCATTTTCTAACCACTTCATCCAATTTAGGGTCACAGAGAAGACTGAGCTTTCTGCCAGAGCTGACCACTCGGTGCAAAGCAGAAAACTGTACATTCTGGACAGGACACAAGTCCATTGCAGGGCACACACAGACAAACACAAACTCACGTCAGGGCCACTTTTCCTGGAATTTTCCAATGAAGCGACCAGGTGTTTGGACTGTGGAAGCAAACTGGCGCACCCAGAGGAAAGTCACACAGACACAGGGAGAACATACTAACTCCATGCAGATAGTAACCCAGGACTGGAATTTAACCCAGGGATCCACACAGCAATGGTAAGCACTGTGCCACCCTCCCACAAACATTGGTGTCTTTATTCGTATTGTCCTTTGGAGTAAATGACTGAAATTGCATAGTCTCTTTAGCTACAGTATTAACTTTTTATCTATTTAATGTTAATGCACTAAACATGGTTTATTGAGTTACATTCAGCCTATGTTAACTAGTTACCTTACAATATGTCTTTTGTAACTCAAAACTTAATAAGCCTTTAGTCTGTGTTCGGCTTTGAGTTCTATTGCCCTTTGGAATTCACATTGCAGGGGATAACCAGTTGTGAAAATAGTATAATATTGAATTAAAATTCTTCTGTTTTTAAAAAAGAAATATAGTGGCATATATTAAATAAGTCTAAATAGTAATGTTTGTTTAGTTATGTGTTTGTAAAAGCCACTTTGATTTTCTTTATTCGCGTAAAGATTTACCAGGAAAATAACTGTTAACAATGCACACTTGGAATTTATTGTAGGTGTATACAACATGCTGGAATACGATATAACTCTTCAATTAATCTAAATTTTTATTATTCCAATTTAACTGCCTCCAGAAAATACAAAAAAGTTCATGTAACAGTTGATGTAATTGTCAGTTTTTCCATTTAAAGGGGATTGTGTCTTCCAAATAAATTAATTTTCCTATTAGACATTAAAGACGTATTTTTCTTTTTCCTTTCCTTTTCCTGTTCCCTTTATTTACAGAGTTTCATTTTAATATGAGTGTCCTTAAAGGTGGCAGCATGGTGTGGTCATGTTTTGTGGGAGTGAGGTGAAATAGCTTGAGCAAGACAGTAGGCATGTAAAGCTGTAATGGAAAGACATCAGACTATACAGTATGTATTAAATATGTAAGCTGGCAGTTCTGTTTGATGACTGGCATGTCATACTGGTGTAACACTCTTGTACTATTGGTCTCAACATCTCTAGTATTATGCCAGCAGCCACATCACCCTGCAGCTCACAACTGGCAACCTACTAAAGCTAAGCAGGTGTGAGCCTGGTCAGTACCTAAATGGGAGACCTCCTGGGAAAGCTGAGGTTGCTGAAGGAAGAGGTGTTAGTGGGAGCACTAGGGGGCGCTCATCCTGCGATCTGTGTGAGTCTTAATGCCCCAGTATAGTGACGGGGGCACTATACTGTTTAAAAAAAGGGGCCATCTGAGATATAAAACTGAGGTCCTGGTCTCTATGTGGTCATTAAAAATCCCAGGGCGTTTCTCGAAAAGAGGAAGGGTGTAACCCTGGCATCCTGCCCAAATTTCCCATTGGCCCTTACCAATCATGGCCTTCTAATAATCCCCATCTATGAATTGGCTTCTTCACTCTGTACTCAACATTATTCATATACAGGATGATTCACCTTCAAAATATTGGAATCATTTTTTAAGCAGAAAATGGATTAAGGTGAGGTCAAGTTATTTTTACTTGACACCAACTGAAAACACCTTACGTTTTAGCTTTTTACTTGTTCTTCTTTTTCTTATTATTACTTTTTGGCAGCACAGTAGTGCACATTGGTTAGTTCCTGGGGTTTTGTCTATGTGGAGTTTATGTGTTCTCCCTGTGTTTTTTATACGTTTTCCACCCAGGTACTCCTGTTTCCCCCCACAGTCCAAAGACATCCTGGTAGGTTAATTGGCTTCTGAGAATTTTGGCCCTAGTGTGAGGGATTGCGCATGTCTGTCTCTGTGTGCCCTGCAATAGACTGGTGTTCCATCCAGGGTGTATCCTGCCTTGCTCCAATTGCTTTGGCTCTGCCTGTATTGGATGAATGACCAATTCTTAAATTGCCCCCCTGGGGATGAATAAAGTGTTTTGAATTGATTTAAAGCAAGATATATTATTATCTTTATTGTTAGCGCTACAGTTGATATTGTATATTAACCTTACACAGCTTTTGTGCAGGAGTGTAGAGTGGTTGTCAGTGTTGTGATGTGGAATGCTGTCACTGACAGCTGTGTCTCACAGCCAGGAAGGGGATCCAATGGCAGGCCCTCGGCATTTTCTGCAGGCTGGCGGAGTTAGCTGAGGAGAAGCAAGAATGGGAGACCAGGAGAAGAATAGGAACTGGGGTAGACAGGAACAAGCTTGGGAAGAGGCCATAGGAATGATGCTGGGTGAATGAGAGGCAAGCAGGATTCAGGTCTCAGGTCTCAGTTCTCAAGGCTCGGGGTAACTTGGAGGCATCAGATTTGCTGGTTTGTACAGTCATAGAAATGTAGCAGAACAGAGTGCTGTGCTGGTACACTTGGCTCAATGACAGAGCACCTTTCCTGTGGCGTTTCTGGAATAAAATGGGGAATCTGGAATAATGAATTCGATGATTGTGTGCTGGCTTGGTATGGGGAAGGCCAAACCAAAAGACGTCCGGAGTGTGTTAGAATTGAAGCCCTGGGAGAAATGCGAGGGAATGTTGCGGCTCTTCCCGGGGCAGTTTTGAGCTGATGTTGAGTCGCTGCTAGTCTGGGCATAACAGTTAGGCCTCTGGACTCCAGACGTAAGGCTTTCTGTATGTAACTTCACTTAAAATGCTCCAGTAAACGCCTTGCAGTGTAAATGGGTCTCCAGGTCATAATTTTAAATGGGGGGTCGTTTTCAAATTATCCACCTGGTAAAATGGAGAAATAGAAAAAAAATGCTTATTTTTACTTGCGGACATTTAGATGGGTGCATGTGTAAAGGTATGGTAGATGTTTTAGCATTGATCAAATTACTACCAGTTAGTGCTGATTGTAAATGGGAAGTAATTAAGGACAACACTGATGAAGCGTCTATAGATACAGACAAAACCAGTCCTCATACTGTACTTACTGGATGTATGTTGATCCTTTATACAAATGCTGTCATTAACATACAGTTTTTGTTTATGTATTGTAATTCATACAACATAATCTAGAGCCTGATAAATGTGTTAGCAAAACATGTCAAAGTCAGTGATAATATTTACTTTAACAAAAAAAGGTATAGTACTTTTGAGCTTTCAAAAAAACTTCCTTTTTTGCAATAATTGTGAGATTTTCTCAGAGATGGATTAAGAAACTCATTCAGAGCATGGCACCAAATTAAAGTTTTTATGAAGTCCAAATATTTTCTGTGGCGTTTTACTGAAATGCATATGGTTAATCTTTTAATGGTTCTTTAAAAAGCAAATTACTATTACTTCAAACTTAATTACTTTGGTAAAAGTATATGACTTCCCTCAACAGAAAATAATGGAGTCTGTACAGGCCAACAGGGAGTTTGAGAAATTATTTTAAGATGTGCTGTACTGATAATAAGCTGCTATGAGAGTGCCATTCTAGAATTAATTAAATGTGCATAGTTTTCCGTAGGAGGGCCATTTTATGTAAACTAGGAGCCATATTTTGGGATTGAATTAATATTTTTCTCAATTTTAGAGCTGCAATTCTCCTGTGATGTTGTCGTATAAAAAGCCACAAAACACAAAACACTACCAAGCTCTCTGGAGGTTCATCATATGATCTATGTTTGTGATGAGGAAGCAGACTATTGAAGGCTGATCCTTGTTTATTTTCTCCTAAGTTTTAGGTGTGGCCTGTAATAGTACATTAATATCTCTATTATGTTTTGTTTGTGTAAATCACAGGATTCTGTATGTGAGATCGTGATTGCCCTTACTTATTTAAATAAGGTAAATAACACAATAATGTTTTCTTATAAAAGCTACTGGCATCTTGCTTTGTTCCATGAACAAGGCAGTCTACTGTCCTGCATAGAACATCATTGATATAGAAGCCTTTAGGGTTGTCTTGCCAACAAGAAAGTGGAATCACAAGGCTTTTTATAAGATTAAGATTTCATTAGTTGTAAATCAGTCACAACTGAATACCAGACTGATGATGAAAATGTCATTTTACAGCCACATCAATTGTTAGCAGTGAAATAAAGCTTGTAAGGGACACACCAGCCTGATATTTAGTAAGTTGTTTCATAAGCAATTCTTCAAACCGTTGTAAAGCAATCACATGTAAAGCAACAGAGAAGAACTTGTTCAGTACTGTATCTCACTGTGTATGGTGAAAAACGGTCAATTCTACATCTGTCATCCAAGAGAGGTATTATTACCATAGGTGGGGGGACAGTATTGTTATTTGGCATGTTTTCTATTTTTATTGAATCTGTTTACCTTGTGGTTTCAGCTGTTAGAAATGACCGGAATAAAAAGAAGAAAGAAGTTCCAAAGGCAGAATGCACAGAGAGCTACGAGCTGACAGCAGAGTTAGAGGACCTTATTGCAAAGATTCGCAAGGCTCATCAGGAAACCTTTCCTTCCCTCTGCCAGCTGGGCAAATACACTACAGTAAGTGCCTGACTGAAACACTGCTCTGCTCTGTTATCTTTACCTTTCTGGGCTGCTGTACCCTGGGGTATGCGGCACAGATGACATCCTTTACCCTCTGGTTTGCCAGTTGAACTTGAAGTAAACTTTTCATTTGAGTTATTTCTTGGTTTTTTTTTGTCATTTATAAAATGTCCTCAGTAATCTCAATGGTTTATGTAATCAAGTTTCAGCCATTCCGTTGTGAATTAAGCAGAATGTTAAGACATGAACATAATATCCTGTTAGTCTTTATTGCTTTATTGCCCTGTTCAGTTATTCCAGTTAAATCAAGCTCTTTTCCAGCTGCTTTTTCTGAAAAGCAGTTTTCATGAAATGGGATCAATACATTTACTCAATTATATTTGTTAGCTAATATGATTCATGATTTACAGTATATACAACATTTAAGTCTGAACATCATGTCCTGAATGGACAAGCACAAATGAAATCATATGATCTTTATGTTGCCTTAAGGAAAGGCTAACTTTTTATGGAAACAGTTTCAGTATGAGTCAGTTTTTGTGCAGTGTTGTTCATTAGTAGGAGTTAATACTTGACCCTGTTTTATGTTATTTAATCCATAATCTGTGACAGAGTATTTACTTTACAGGAAATCATGTGTGATGTGAGACATCAAATATATTCTGGTGCCTTCAGCCAACCAAGAAAGAGTAAAATGTGGTGATGATACATATCCTGTAGTGGATTTGTAGTGGATTATTTGTGTGTTTAAAAATATTTTCATGGATTATTGTACATTCTCCCAAAAATATATTAGTAAGAAAATCAATTCTAAAAAAGTGATAAAAATATGAGTATTTCAACAGGCGTCTTTCTAAATCACACAGAGAAATATTTTGTTTGATTACAGCAGCCTTGAACATAGTTGGTCAAAAGTAAAGTATTATTCAGTTAATTTTGTTTACATCTAAGAACATGTTCCTACTCAGAACCCAGTGAACCAGTAACACAATTCAACCCAATAAAGGTATTTGTTTCAGCCCCAAGATGAGACACTACGATGGTCTGATGTCACACAACCATTCAAAAACCAAACAGTGTCTGGGCCTTCCTATTAGAAGTAATTTTCAAAACATGGTTCTTGGGATAAAATATGGCATATAATAAATATATATGCCCTTAATATGGCATATAATAAATATGCCCTTTCATACCCAAGAGCTCAGTATAAGTTACAAGTGTATGTTCCACTAATAGTTAAATCATGATCATGTAAAAAAATGGAGCTCCTTCAAACAAAGTCTCAGAAGAAGTGTTTTCCAGTCAATTTTTCTTAAGAAACCGCAACAAAATACAGACTTTGGAACCACCAATTAGAAATTCACACAATTGAGTATTGAGGTGACACCATAAAGGCCATAAATTTAGGAATCTCAAGGGACTCTGATAAATTCCTCCATTCTTTTGTATTGTGATTTTTTTAACCTAATTTCTTTATATTGTATTATTATTATTTTATAATGTGTCTTAGGGTCAAAACAAGTAGATTTCTACCCACCATGGAGTTCAACGTAGAGTAAACCCACTGAAGCCCAAAAAGTATTCATTTAATTTTTAATTTATTAAAGTTTTGTGACATTAATGATACTCGTCCAGTGGGTGAATATTATAAATAGTAGTAGCAGGCTAAAAAATCTTACAGTTATCATTCCCCCTGTTTGTTAGGCAAAGCATATATTTTTCCTCTAAAGTAAAACTGCTCGTTTTCTGCGTTGATACGTTTGTAGGCCGACCGAGGCAGGGAATCCAGTCTTGATGGTTCAATTGCTGTTTACTGTGCAAAAACAACAAATGTTAAATGTGTTACAATAATCAAGGAAAGTCAAAAATAAGCTAAAGCACCTTTTAATGGAAAAGGAACATACTTAACTAATATTACAGCTGTCAGTCTGTACACAACTCCCTGTGATGATATACAGATGCTGCCAAGTCAAGCAAACCTTTTTGGCTGACTCATTAAGGGACACATGTACTGTGACTCAGTGAAAACTTAACAGCAGGTATTGGCTGCAAATGTGGATATTTGCTTTGCTTTGACCACAGAGGATTAGGTTCCATCACTAATGTGGATATGATGGTGAACTCTGGATGTTCTCAATTAAAAGATTTGTGGAGGGGGTGTAATATGGGTGTGTTTTTTCAAAGAAAATAGGCTGCTATTGTACCAGGGCTCAGATACAATATCCTATTACAGGTGATGTCACCACCTTAAGCCTTAAGTGTAGAATTCTCCAATGGCAGACTTTGTCTTTCGGTGGAATGGATTTCATTGCTGTTTAGGGAGTGTGTGGGGAAGATGACCCCTTTACAATTATGCTTTATGGGCATGAACATAAATGGACCTGAGTCAGTTCAGTAACTGCTTTAACTTACAGATGGTGGGATGACCTAAAACCTTTTAATTCACCTTCATGTGATTACACAGTCAGCTGTTTTGCCATGGTTAGGAATCATTAGAGACATCGCAGAGATATAAATGTAATTTTGAAGGAGACTTAAGGTCCATGGTTGGAGTTATTTTTTTCCAAAAAGTAGAATGCTGTGAATCATGTTTATGAATATTAATGAGCTTTAGTAATCTCAGCAAGTATCCGTTTGCTATCCTTCTGTTTGTTTTAATTTTATCAGGGCTTCTATTTAATTGTACTCTATCAGTTTAAAACAATAACGTGTAAAATGCATCACCATTTTAAAATATATGTCAATGTAATAAAACCCATCCAATGTATCTCATTTTTTGAGAGAATTAAAAAAATTCCATGTTAAGCAGTTCTTAAACTTAGCACATGAGCACATTTAACAACAAATGTGGATGCTGAAATGTTCTACATACTACAAATGTTTAACTTTCTACATACGGGGCTTCATGTTTGCTTATTTCAAAGTCTTTCTCTATAACAGCATTAAATGAAGCTGAAAATGTGTTGTTTTGTCTTCACGCATCAGCATAGACTATAGTGCACAAGGCATGTGAAGGTTAGTGCACCTCCCCAAGATACAGGTGTGGCTTGCAGATGCCCTCAGACAATGTTTATGCCAGAAGGAATCATGTCTTCACAACCAGGGACAATGCCTGTCTGCTTACAGTGGATCACCCCCTTGGGGTGGAAGGAGAAAGTTCTCGTGTTGATTCTCCATAAGAAGCGGTAGTCATTGCACCAGGAAGTGGTCAGAACACACAGCAGAATTTAAATTTACAGCGTGCACCCAGGTGCAGTTTGCGCCATCATAGCTCTAATTGTATGCAGTGTTTGATCCTGCTTCTGTGACATCTCAGCACCAGAAATGGATATGGACTGGCTTTAATCTGTTTGCTTTGAATGTTGGATTTGATCAGTGATTTTTACAATCGATAACCTCACAGTGGGCGGAGCGGTGGCTCTGTGGCTAAGGATCTGTGCCTGTGGCTGGAAGGTTGCCGGTTCAAATCCCCCAGCCGGCAGAGGAATCCTACTCCGTTGGGCACCTGAGCAAGGCCCTTGACCCCAACTGCCCCAGGGGCGCTGTACAATGGCTGACCCTGCACTCTGACCCCAAGCTTCTCTCCCTGTCGGTGTGTCTGTGTTTCATGGAGAGCGAGTTGGGGTATGCGAAAAGACAAATTCCTAATGCAAGAAATTGTATAGGGCTAATAAAGCAACATTATCACATTATTATTATTATCAGTGCGAGGTATTAGCATGAATGAAGAGAAACCTGAGCTGCTATGTGCTCCTAGGGCAGTAGCTCTTTATTCCTGCCCTTGTTAGATGCAGTCAAACCAATTCAGTGTGAGCGTCTCCTAAATAACAGGAATTGCTGTTGCAGCCAAACATGTTTCAATCCCTGGAGGCTGCAGCAGGCTGGGCCGTGGGTCTGCTACCAGCCTTCTGGTGACAGGACCAAAAACTGCTCTTCAGTGCTCTGTGCCCACTGGGCTTCTCTCTGAATCTTTGCGGTAAAGACCCTGACATTTGTGGATGTAGTGCATTACTTCAGAACTCCATTACCTGTCTACAGAACAATTGATTTCAGAGTTTTTTTTCTTCCTCATATGGAGTCACTATCCTAATACTGTAGTGGTTTGAATGAAGTGATCGCTAGCATTTTGAAAAGGTAAAAGATTTCGTTTTTTTCGGCTTTCTAATTGTCGTAAGCGAAGACTATATGAAATTCACTTTTACATGTGTCACTAATTGATTTTAAACCCTCAATTTAAATTTGAAGGGTTAGTAGCAGGGTCTGGTCTATTCCTTGCCTTTAATTATTATATCTTTATATATGTTATATATCTTTAATGATTGAAATCTCAGCATCGCACATTCTTGAGTCCAGGAAATGCAGAGATGTATTGGTGTTCATATATCCAGAAAATAACAAATCAGATGTCTTAAACTACAGTTTAGCACATGGCAGCAGCTGCAATTATATACAATGAAATTTGTTTTTTAGACATGATAATAATTCATTGATAATGGCCTCTGCTTCAGTACATTGTTTTCCGACCTGTTGAAAACCAAAAAAAGAAATGTAGGTGACACAATTTGCTTCATCATCTCTTTTCCTTACACATACATCAGCATGCATTCTTAAAATGCATTCATTGCATATAGCAATGTGCTTTTATTAATGTATTTTTATTAATGTTAGAGTCATGTTTAGCCTGAATTAACAACACTCATTTTAAATGAGGAAGATTTATGTGTGCAATTTTTTTAGTAGAAAGTTAACTTTAATGCTGAAGTGTGTAGTTTATACCTAATGGATAATTATTTTCTAAAACAAGCTTTATACAGTATCAGACCACCTGTAATCAGAGCTTGTACATTGGTGATTTAACCCTGCTAGATACGGACACCAATAAAAAAACAAGGAAGGAAAAGAAGTAAATATTTGACCTCAGACTCAAACTTAGTTTTCTTATTGACAAGATATAAAAAAATGGCCACTTTGCTAATTCTTCTCTCATAATTAAAATA